ACCTATCATCAATGGACTTTTGAGCTTGAATACTGTTCGTTATCTCCATATATTTCACTTGACACACTTCAAATACAGTGTTAATTAGTGATTCTTATCTTTAACATATTTTATTCTTCTTGTAATTACAAAAGAAAAGGAGAATCGTCATTAAAGTGAGAGTCATGATACTTGGCTCTATGCTGTTGTCCGTTTGTCTCTGAGTGATCCTCTTACAATATAGATACACGAATACTAATATCACCCGTGTGTTACTCGATTCTTTTTCCTTCATTAAAAGTTGTCCGGAGATTTCAAAGATATGTGGTTAGGATCAGTCTTTAGGAGAATGCCTATTTGCTTTAACTTCAAATATTAAAGGCAATTCTGTAGATATAGGGACGAACGAAATATAAACTGTCATCAAAGGGGAATAGGTACATGCAAGTGGCTATATTTGTGCCTTAAAAGCGATCTCTTAATTATATATATGCATAATTTACTACGGAAAGAGAGTTGTTTTATTTGTAAATTTAAAAAAATTAAAAAAAAAATATATTCGCTTTAGATACAGACTACATCTCGGTCAATGACTCAATAGCAACAGAATTAAAGAAGTGGTTGAAGCATGTACGTTATGTACGTGTATTGTTAAATTTCAGTAATTTTCCCGTTGCATTTGACATTTGTGATTTGAGCAACCTGATACACGCTTTTGAGAAACAAATAAATGTCAATTATTCAAAATGTCCGTGTCTTTCCATGCTTGTGTATTCCAATGCTGGCTAATTCTGCATTTTCACTAAAGCAATAAATGCATAACTACCAGGTATAAAACAGAAATTTTACATTCCGTTTGTAAAATACCGCTTTTAAGTTTGCTATGCTCTGATGAATCGCTGGGGTAAACAACGTCGTCAAATGCAACCTATGTAAGCATTTTTCAAGTGAACTGAGCCTAGGACCAAAATAGACCTAGTATTTAAAAAAATTAGTACTACACAGAGTAGAATTGTTTCTATAAGCTTATAAATACATGTACAAACTAGGAACACCGGTGGTACCCCCCCCCCCCCGAACTCCCCTCCCGATTTTAGGACCTATGCAAAAGTATGTAAAACATCAAACTAGTTTCCTCGAATAAATTTAAAGTTCGTCGATCTCTTTTTGGTGAGATTAAGTAGCTGTAAAGAACTGACCTATCCTTCGTTTGGTTTGTTACAAAGTTTATCAGTTCATCAACCCTTCTGATTTAATTCTAGATAATTTTGGAAAATAGATCATCAGCCCTCCAGATTTTACGACATAAAGTGAATGAATTTTTTGTACGATTTTGTGCAATTAAAATACAAGTTTGTCGAGACAAAATCAATATTAAACATTTTAATATATAAGATGATATATCACTGGGAAAACCCACAACAACACAAGCAAAACAATTCATCTTATCAAACATTAAAAGTGATAAACTGCAGTGTCATTGATTCAAAGAGTAATGGGGATTGCACTTTATTACGTTTCAGGGAAATACACACCATCCTTAGAGAAATTCATGCATTGTAAGGTTGCGTCTAAATGTTCGATCTACATTTAGAAAAAAAAAATTCTGATTTACCTTGTTATAAAATTTAATCACTCTGTGAAAATTTCAAAGATGAACGAACACGCTTAGAGTACTATCAACGCATATAATCAATGGGGGAGTAAAAGGGTGGGGGCTCTTAATCAAACCCGGCAAAAAGCTATGGTCAATTATGATATTTTTTATTTGCTTCATACAAGAAACAAAATTTTAATATAAAAAAAGTTGGAATTGATTTGCATTGATGGACACTGGAAACAAAAGAGATTAAATTCAACTAAAATCGAGTACGAGGACGTATATTCCAAAAAAAAAAAATAATAATAATAATTTGTAGATAAAAAATAGAAAATTGCGATATTGGATCATACCAAGGTTACAGTAGAATTAAACGTGAGTCAGTCTCATTGATACCGAAAGGTTGCGTCGCTAAGTTTCAGAAGAATTACTCTACAAATAAGGCGAGGAGGGACATGGTTGATCAAAGTGCTTCAAGATTTAAGAAGTCCTATTTTCATGCAGAGACATTGTTGTTAAATGATTGCTTCTGTATCTTTATACGGTGCATCATTTCCTTCAGATTTGATCGGTTGTTAACGTGAAGTTTCATAAACCTTATCTTATACGTCTTTTAAAAATGCATTCCAATAGAATACCATTTTCTTTCCTTGAAGAAATATCATGTGTAACGTACAATTATGTACAACTTCAAAAACCAGGTACGGATTTCTTTTACATTTTAACTGGATGTAGAAACACCGTAGACAACAGATCCCTTAACTCAAAGTTTATATGTCCGAGAGAGAGAGAGAGAGAGAGAGAGAGAGTAGAATGCCAAAAATAACCGTGTAATGCCATGCCAGATATACGTTTTGGTTATTGGATCAAACTGAATTACAGGGACTTGTACTACAGTCTAGTTATCACGGTTCATTTCCACTTTAAGTGCCTATAGAACGAGGACCAATATACGACCCTGTTATTTAAGAAAGTGCTGCTTAAGCCCTTGACACCGTTCGTTTTCATTATTATTCAGAATTTTAAATGTTTAGTCAAATGGATCAGATTGAAAGACGAAAAATAGAGCCCAATCCAGACACTTATTTCTTTTGCATGTTTCATCCTAGAGCACCATGCACATATTTTCTCTATGACGTAACCTTTTTATTAGAATTATATAAAGATAGGAAATAAATTTGAACTCATGAACTACTTTAAAGAGTAAGAACTGTTCATGTAATGACCTCCAACAATAGTATATTTGCTTGTTTTCCTTGTTTGTTTAAATGATCAAATGATTGTTGTATATTTTTAAGAAAAAGTTTGCTCAAGTTTGATCTAGGGACCTTTAAGAATGTCGGAAATACCCTGAACTAAATTTTAAGGACTGTTGCAAAAATATCTAGAGTTTACGGCTATTGCTCTCATGTGTTTTTTTTCTATACATGTACATGAATAGTACGTATAAATTGACATTCTCTTCCATTAGAGGCTTGTTGTTTGAAGTCGTTTACTTACAATTATTTGCTGAGTATGTACATGTAGACCTTTTATGATCTAACACCTTGAGATAAAGCATATTAAACAGTTGTTTGACCGTGCCGTCGGGGGCATTTCACTGATCCCACATACATTATTCATTGACCTGTTGGTGAAAGTGGAGGTGTGAATATTTAATGTGAATAACAAAGTACCATTATCCTGTCTTAAATGGTTTAAATATCACCTGCACCCTGTTCGACTGACCTGTTATGTACAGTTCTATAAATCAAATCTTTAGATACAAGTGTTGTACATTTAGGACGGTCCTATACATCTTGATGTTGTTCCTGGGTTTTTTTGGTACTCGCCATGTTTACACTTTAAGTAGATATTGGTTCTTCACGGGGAACAGAACCTTTATATGTAAACTGAGTAAGGGTGAGCAAAGTGACCCAGTATAATCCAACGTCTTATTGTGCTTTAAATTTTCGACAGTGGCAGAAGAGAAAAAGAGCAAACAAGACAGTAGAGTGTAGACAAAAAGAGCGTGAGATTTTAGAACCCCCTGGAAAAAAAAGACATTTATAGGCACAATAGATTCTTGGTGAAGAAACAAATTATCGTGAAACGAACACCAAGATGGATTGGATACACCTTTTGTTGATGGTCGCTCAAAATGATTACCCCGGGTACAGCACAAAAAGACCGTTGCATACCGAGAATCTTAAAATAATATCTAAGTCTTTCTCTTGTGAAGAATGCGTATAACATGGTAAATCTTTGGTAGTCAATGGTTCAAGTTCAATCTGACTCTCCCGTCGACTTCACATTAATGCCTAATGAAAGTAAATTGCCTGAAGATACATGTATCATATTTTATCCAGTACATGTATGCGTTACAAATATTCAAACTTGGCTTTAACTGCATGCATATTTCTTTCGAATGGGTGAACTTTCTCGGTGGTTGGGCAACCTTGAATACAAGTATTTGGTACACTGGTTGTCAACAGCCTAAATTAAATTCAAAAGGGATAATTTTGTCAACATCCTTACATCAATTGATTTAAAAAAGTTCTTGGCATCATGAGTTTTGATCCCTTTTTTAGCTCTGTGACTTTAAATCAGAGTGACTAAGCAGAAGGCTAATATCTGTTATTGTTTTGTTTAATATACGTGTACATGTACTGAGTACAGTGCTCTGTAGTAGTTTCTAACTCTCAGAATCATTTAAAAATTATTTACTTCGACGATTCCAAATAGAACAAATGCCTATATAAATCATAAATCTATAAATAATACAATTAATTTACCAATTATGATTTTAAAAAAGGACTCAAAACATCCTTTCCTCTGTTGCTTATCTTGTGTAAATGCTGTTTATAACCAATTTTACCAAAAGTGAAGGAAGTTAAGTTTACCTATATGTCACTTAGGTGCAGTGATAAACAAATAGATTGCGTCAATTACACTGAGAGAGCTCATGTTAATATAGGAACCGCTAAATATTCAGATAGTGGAAGAATAAAATAATTCATGTGTCAACTTGTCATTTGCATACAAATTAAGCTAACGTTGTTCTTAACGCATCATATCCTGTTGTCTTTTGAAAAATTCCATCTTTGTTTTGCACTCCTTTGTTTTTCATTAGTAGCTTTTTAAATCACTTAATTCGTAAGCATTCACAAAGTTTTTGCAAACCAGTGAATGTTATCCCCAAGTATATGGAGAAGCCATGTATTATAAAATGAATGACCACGGGTCTGATTTTTGACATCAATAATTATTCATACTAATGCGACCCTGTGCCAGACATGTACATCTAGATATGACCCAAAGCCCGAAGCGATTTTTTCATAGGCTGTAATTAACAGGTTATAAGCATTATAAAAACAAACCATCTGAAGATTTTGCAATCCAGTGGTAAAAGAAAAATCTTACTATCCTTTCATCCACTTACCCCCTCCATTCTTGTAGCAGAGGTATGGAAAGCGCCACACATTTCCAAGTCCAACAGAAAATCCAATGCAGGCTAGAAGAAAGTCAATTTTTCTGCTCCATGTTTCCCTCTTCTTGATGCCTTCCCCGTGCTCCTCTTGGATTTCTAGTCCTACATTATTTGCCTCACTTTCCTTTCCCATTTTCGGGACGATCTTGGTGGGGGATGCAATGAATGTTTAAAAATGAACTCTGTGTCTTGAAGAAGGCGTTTTCACGCGGGATCCATAAAACAAAATATTTGTACGAAAATAAACGAAGACAGCCACTTCGTGTATGTGAAGAAATTTAATATACACACTACGATAAGAAAATCACCCAAGCTTGCAAAAGGGACCTTTGAATGACTTTTACGGCATCAGTCGAAGTTTAGTCGAACTGCATTCAAAAAAGATTTACATCGACACTTTTCAGTTAAAATAAAATTAAAAACCGGTACACAAAAGAAAAAAATTAAATGCCCTTCGATGGTAGGGAGGGTCCTAAGAGTTCAATAGATCTGCTATGGGGAGACGTTAAAGTTCACCTGTGAAAAAGCGGGCGTGCTGACAAGACTTAAGACCCTCGGTCAACGTGTTATATATGCAAAATAATGACTCATATGATGCCTTCAAACCTAATTAATAATATCGACATCAATAACTTTCAATTCTTTCCCAAGTTAAAAATTTCACTAGATATTGTGTAGATTCATGACTGACATCACAAATATATAAACACCTGTGACGTTTGGATAAGGCCTTGCAGAAAGGTATAAAATTTTCCATTACGTATATTTATTGCATACAAATGTTTGTTATTATGTAAGATAAAAGACTCAATACATCGCTTGTAAAATATGTATATATTCTGGTCATTTAAATCTCAAAACATATGCTATCGGGTACGCATTATTTTTCCATGGATAATTTTTATTTGAACGAAGAGGGTTAAGATTTAAATAGGAAATCTAGTCAAAACAAAATATTACAAGTTAATCCAGCTTTATCACCTGAATCAATAATACCCTCGTTTGGTGTGTACTCAGTATTTGAATTTAAAAAACGTGTTAATCTTAGTCGCACTAATCTGGAATCTTAATTCCACTTTGTATTACTTAATCTATATCTTGTCTTGATTATGTGCCCTTATTAAACTAGACTTTTTTATTCTATATTTTAATTCCATAAAGAAACCAGAGCTACCACAGTCACTCCCCCCCCCCCCCTCTTAGGGTCACATCCAGACAAACCCACTTGGGGGTAGTGCTATAACTCCTCCCTTATTTAAAAGAATTCAATAGCAATAGCTATTCCGAACGATAAAAATGATTGCAAATGATTGATACTTATATTTCGTAGATAGATCTAAGGAAGGAAAAACTAATTCAGAGAATAATACCCCTCTCCCTCCGCCGTCGGTGGGTTTTTTTTTTTTTTGGGGGGGGGGCTTGTTTTTGTTTTGTTTTGCTTTTTTTTTTGGAGGTGCAATCATTTTTTATTAGGCCGTGGTAAATAATATTTTTGTTTTACGTCCCTTAATTTTTGAAAAGGTACCCTCCAGTCCCACATTAAAAAAAATTCAATAATTAGAGAAATATTGACCAATGAATGAGAAAGAAAGTTCTTACAAGTTTTATTCTTTATTTTTAAGTAATTTAATCAAAACTGCGATTTCACACAATCACATTAATATGATAAAGTACGTTTGAATTTCTTGTAAGTTTTCCTTTCTTCCCAGGGTTATTTTTTATTTGTTTCCTTTTCTCTCAGAGACTAGAAATTCTGTAGCATTAAAAACCAATTTGATTCCAATATTATTTCCGAAAAATGAATATAAAAGCCCTGTCTTTTCTCATTCAGTTCAGAAGTAATGACCAAAGTTAGTTTTTTGTGACAGATTGACACACAAAGCGGTGGACAAAAAGTACTTCTCGAACACTTCATGGGTTTCTCTAAACGCTTTCTTATGTATATAGCGTCGACTACCCCCCCCCCCCCCTCCCCTTTTAACCTGTACATATTTGTAGAAATTTTAGGTAGATCCTGCACTGACCAGAAATCATTATTAGATTCGTAGAAAGATGCAATGCATGTGTTTATCATAATTAATTATGCATGTGTTTATCATAATTATGTATTGAATTCGGAGTCTTTTAGAAAATGGCTCAGTTTAGAACAGATAATGTTTAAAATTTAATGCAAGGAAAAGTCAGGAGATATAGACTCCTCGAGAGTCTTTCAGTTTATTTCAATAATTATCGTAGTAATTTGGAATGAAATACAATTGTATATTTTTATTGTACATAACTGAAATCAGAAATAAGAAATATGCACCTTTTCAATTTGGAAGGTTCAGAGATATTTTGCAACACTTTACACCCAAATTACAAATCTTAAATATCAAAATTATATAGGTTTGACCCCTGTCTCTATTTAAGCATTTGCATGACAAATATATTTCGTAGTTATTCAAGGATTTCCCTAAATTGTGATACATTTTGCAATCCATTGCGCACATGCCGTTTTAGGGGAAGTCCCTCTGTTCTACTTGTAAGTGAGAAAAGGTGATGTATTTAAAGAAAAAGAAATAATAAAATGTATAGTGTATAATCTTCCCTTCGCGATACCATGGTTAAAGTGCTTAAGAGATAATACTGAAAAGGGGGGGGGGTAATAAATTAACTATTTAAAGTACATGTAATATTTAAAATGTGTTTCTTCTTCAAGCATGAATACTTCAAGCATGAATACTTCAAGCATGAATACTTCAAGTATGAATACTTCAAGCATGAATACTTCAAGTATGAATACTTCAAGCATGAATACTTCAAGCATGAATACTTCAAGCATGAATACTTCAAGCATGAATACTTCAAGCATGAATACTTCAAGCATGAATACTTCAAGCATGAATACTTCAAGTATGAATACTTCAAGCATGAATACTTCAAGCATGAATACTTCAAGCATGAATACTTCAAGTATGAATACTTCAAGCATGAATACTTCAAGTATGAATACTTCAAGCATGAATACTTCAAGTATGAATACTTCAAGCATGAATACTTCAAGCATGAATACTTCAAGCATGAATACTTCAAGCATGAATACTTCAAGTATGAATACTTCAAGCATGAATACTTCAAGTATGAATACTTCAAGTATGAATACTTCAAGCATGAATACTTCAAGCATGAATACTTCAAGCATGAATACTTCAAGTATGAATACTTCAAGCATGAATACTTCAAGTATGAATACTTCAAGTATGAATACTTCAAGTATGAATACTTCAAGCATGAATACTTCAAGTATGAATACTTCAAGTATGAATACTTCAAGCATGAATACTTCAAGCATGAATACTTCAAGCATGAATACTTCAAGTATGAATACTTCAAGCATGAATACTTCAAGTATGAATACTTCATTCGAATCTTGAATAAAAACTGTCATGTTCTTCTGATTGAAGGATAAAAAAAAGTGGTGAAAAAATTACAAGTATTTGTAAAAGAACTTAGTCAAATGAGTAAATTAGTAGAATATAATTGAGAGTTTCCCCCTCCCCCTTTAAAGGCATTTTTAGGGTATTGGTAGCTTTAGACATAAATTTTACATGTATACACTTGCTCTCTAGCTAATGGGTCATGTAAACTTGAATTGATATAGAAAACAAATCCATATAGCTTACTGCCATCATGCATGGATGGGTTCGATTACCTATGGTTCACTTTGGAATGTAACCGAATAAATTACAATTACTTTTGTTTCCAAAATGCAATATTGATTAAATTCATGATTACATGAACATGAATTCAAAAGTAATTGATTAAATTTATGATTATTTTTTAATAATTGCTGTGCATAAACTGAAAAGAGTCATAATTACATGTGTTTATGCTTAAGTGAAGTATTTAACTGAAAATATTGCTGAAAATATTGTGAAAAACACTTCTAAAATTGAAGAAATAATAACAAACACTAGAGCTGAATTTTAACAGGTCGGGACCAATCGTCCAAATGGGATATAACAACCCGTTTGGGATATAATATTTCAAATGGGATATTTTACAGTGCCATTTTTTTTATTTTGGCTATGAATATCATAAATCCGCATAAAATACTTAAAAATGAATAACTTTTGGCAAGCAAGTTTTTCTGCAACCATACAGTTTGTTAGATTGATCCCCAAGAAGTTTAGGAACTTCCAAGGGATCAATCTCCTAAACAGTAGACATTTTTTAAATTATCCCTGCAAATTATCATTATTTTTAAGGCTTATGATCCTCTGTTCTAAATTTCACATTTTTTTTAAACTTCCCGAAACTGATTTTCATCAAGAGCTATAGCATCAGATTCAAATGAAAAATAGTATGAGGTATGAAACGCTGGTTATTTTTTAAGAAACGATTTTTTATGACAGATCATGCTATGAAGAAATCTTAACACAGATGAGGAGGAGTAATCATTTTTTATCATAACATAAAATTAAAAAGATGAGATGTATATGAAAATAATATTTAGTATTGTAATATATTGTAATATATCACTTTATTTTATACGTAATATTATGCGGTCGTCCAGTTCTCATACTTGTTAAATCTATGTTCATCATGTGTCTGCCAGAAAAGTTGTTTGTTTACGATTTTATTGAAAGTAATATGTCAGCTTATCTTGATACGATTGTAGTAATAGCTATTATCATCATATTTTACCTGTTGTTGCTTCATGTAAAGTCGTAGGATTTATAATATCAGGGATAAGAGGGTGGATTTTATATTTCATATTTTGGTAGCCATCATACTTTACTCGGATCGTCACTTCCGGTTTAGTGACATATTTACTATAGTAATCTATGATTCAAGTTATGAATATTGGATCAGATTCTACATTTTAATTTGAGTTGTTGTGTATTTTGAGGCTAATGAAAAATGTAGATTTCAGCATTTTTTTTATAAACAAAAATAAAAGGTAAAATTATTTATTGCTGTGTCGACCCCCTCTGTATCACAGTAATTGTGACATCCACCACACAATTATTAAAAGGATCATATATGGAAGCTTAAAAAAGATATTTTTAGTAGTGCTACTGTACTAATTGTATTGTAATATATTGTAATATATCACTTTATTTTTATACGTAATATTATGCGGTCGTCCAGTTTTCATACTTGTTAAATCTATGTTTATCATGTGCCTGCCAGAAAAGTTGTTCGTTTACGATTTTATTGAAAATAATATGTCAGCCTATCTTGATACGATTGTAGTAATAGCTATTATCATCATATTTTACCTGTTGTTGCTTCATGTAAAGTCGAAGGATTTCTAATATCAGGGATAAGAGGGTGGATTTTACATTTCATGTTTTGGTAGCCATCATACTTTACTCGGATCGTCACTTCCGGTTTAGTGACATATTCACTATAGTAATCTATGATTCAAGTTATGAATATTGGATCAGATTCTACATTTTAATTTGAGTTGTTGTGTATTTTGAGGCTATAAGTAGTCCTTTATTGTCAGCATTAACTTTATTATCAGTCAGCTTAATCGGAACTACATTTGTTTACGCTATCGTTGGTAGTTACGATATTCATACGCTACATTGTTCAGTATCTATTGTACAGCCTAGGGATGTTTTATAAACATTGAAGGTATTAATTTATTCGTCTAGTCAAGTT